TATATATATATACTATAAATTTATAATTAAAAAATTGATTGTAAATTTTATACCAAAATTATTTTATCAACTTTTATTGAAAATAATTAAACCAAGCATGTTTTCTAATTTTCAAAATTTTAAAATGAAAATTATTTTCTAAAATGTAAACAGAAAATGAAAATAAAAAAGAAAATTGAAATTGTCTAGCACATCACCATCTCTGAACCTTTTTCCGTTTAGCCAAGTATTAGTGTTGACGGTCCAACCCCCAGGATACTACCACGAGGTAAGTTATTGCATTAACATGTCTCACCTTACTAAGAATGACACAGATGCAGAAGTATCTTAGCATTTTGGCATGTAACACATTTCATATTTTCCTATCATAGGTTAAGTTTGAGGGATGCAGAAGTATCTTAACATTTGACCATTTCATATAATGCAGATGTATGAATTATAAAAACATATCGCTCTTTTTTTTATTTTTATTTTTTTTTAATTTTATTTTATTGGTGGTGAAAACAAACCCTATGCTTAATGCCAAGGCCTTTCTCATCCTCTCAATTTCTACATTGTTTTATTAGTTTTACTAGGCTACTAGACCCTTTACGTGATAAATAGCTCTTCCAATTAAATCCTTAACTAATTCTTCAAACTCGTGACCCATCTGTAAGGTTTCCCAGTCCCCCTCAGTCCTTATCCTCACATCCCTCCCTCGATTCCCCACTCTTTCTAATCTTTAATTATGGAAATGGTCTCACCATAAATACAATGGTCTTACCATAAGCCTGTTCTAGTTTCCATTGCTTAAATTAAAATATATTTTTTTCACAAACCATGATTTTTTTGATGTGTTAAATTAACTATAGAAGTCACGAGATCCAATTGAAGTTAGATGCTATGAAGAAAAGATTGTTTTGGTTTTGTAAGTGAATAAATTAGAAATGGGGTTGATTATTTCATTCAAGTTGTTATGGGTAACCAGAAAATTGTCTATGTATCAAGGCGTATTCTTTGTCCATGTACAAAATGTAGGAACTATTATCAAGCGAAATCATTTTGGGTGAAAAAATATTTGTATGACAACAGTTTTGTGGATGGTTATGTTACTTGGACCCTCCATGGCGAGGATAGATGGATGGATAATGCATTAATGTTTATTATCCACAACCATGTTATGGACCTTGTTCAGGAGAATATAAATTCATACATGAAATTGCTTGTGATGTATTAAATTCAGAAGTGGAAGAGAGTCATTTGAATCCATCAGCTTCAAAGTTCTATAAGTTATTAAACGATGTTGATGTACCTTTATGGGATGGTTGCAAGAAGCATATAAAATGGTTAACTATAACTCAAGTCCTAAACTTGAAGTTAGAGTTTAACATGAATGTGAGTTGTTATGTTTGAATGATTGTCATAATCAAAGAGCATGCTTCCAAAGTCAAAAATGTTGCCTAAAAATTATTAAATATCAAAAAGAATAGTTAGTGAGTTGAGATTGTGATATGAGAACATAGATGCATGTCCTAATTGTTGAATGTTGTGTTGCAAAGAAAATAGTGATGAGACTATTTGGTGAGCCTGTAAAAGCCAACAATTCAAACCAAAGGTGAGAAATTCTACAAATATGACGGGAATGTCATACTCAATGTTGTGATATTTTTTCATTACTCCAAGACTCCAATGCCTCATTATGTCCAAATATACTTCAAAATATTGACATGTAGATGGAGTGTGTCAAGATGAATCAACAATGACACATCTAATTGATGCCTAAGCTTGAGAGTTGTTGAGAGTAATGGTGAATGGAGAGAACATATTCCTTGTGTATTGCAAAGCAAAAGATGTGTTTAAATACAAAGCAGTGGGCCTAGGCCCATAAGATAAAAAAACTATAAGATAAAAACTATAAGATAAAAACTATAAGATAAAAACTATATCTAACACTCCCCCTCAAGCTGGTGTATATAGATCATACGCACCAAGCTTGTTACAAATATAATCAATCCTAGGACCCCGTAATGATTTGGTGAAGACATCTGCCAACTGATCAGTAGAGTTAACAAACTGAGTAGTAATGTCCCCAGATAAAATCTTCTCACGAATGAAGTGACAATCTATTTCAATGTGTTTGGTCCTCTCGTGAAATAGTGGATTTGAGGAAATATGAAGGGCAGCTTGGTTATCACATATGAGAGTCATCTGTGTAACTTCGCCAAATCTCAGTTCTTTAAGCAACTATTTGAGCCAAATAAGCTCACACGTAGCAGAGGCCATAGCACGGTATTCTGCTTCTGCACTAGATCTTGCCACTACATTCTGCTTCTTACTTTTCCATGAAATCAAGTTATCACCGATAAACATTTCAAAAATGTTTGATTTTGTTTAGTTAGGTTCATCAAATGATGAAGAGACCTAGCTAAATAAATCTATGAAAAATTAGGAGCAAAATGAGTCCAATATGTAAAATTTTTCCTAGGCCCAATTCTGGCCCAATTACTAGTCACACCCTCAAGCATTGCTAAATGTCACCCCTTTTTCCCTACTGAAAAAATATAAAATGAATGTATCAACAAAGGAGGTTAAATGGAGTTAAACTCTCCAAGTAACCCACCCTAAAATCAATATACAATCACTAATTAAAAGCAAGTAAAGTGCCTCACAAATACAAAGGCAAAATTAGACCTATACAAAGGAACTATGTACAAAATATATGAAAAAGGTCTTTAAGATCATCCCATTCCTCTTGGTTCTTTTAAGATATCACCTCTTGGATTCCTTGGCCTTGGCCATAGTCTATCATCCCCTCCCTCTTGAAAAGGATTTGACCTCAAATCTCGAGGGTCTTCATGATTATTGGCCACACCTACAAATATATAATAAAATTCATTAGAGGTGATATTCTCAACAAATAAATGTGAAAGGTATATCCTAGAAGGAATCCTTTCATGGAACCTAAAGAAATCTATGATACTAGACCTTCTAATATAATGAATAGGATCCTCTCCTAAACATAGACTAGGTATATTACTAAATCCTAAAAATGTGCTAAAACTAAAACTATAACACACTAAAGACTTAATCCTAAAAACTAGAACATCTTGCCTAAAGTACCCTATGTGGTAACCTAGGCATTTCCTAGAAAACAAAGGAAATACAACTAGAAAATTTCCTAAGCAATTTTGGATTATATTATTTGTTGGATAGTTATGAAAAGAATTTGACACAAGGAACCTTAAAGGTTCATATGTTATATCCAACAAATAATATATTCCATAAATTGGGTGCATTATTGAATCAACTAAGGTAGGAAAAGTCCTACACAAAGGAAGGCTATCTACCTTGGGCACCACCAAGGAAGTAGCATGAGAAGTAGAACTAAGTGAAGTCTACTTCTCCTTCACCAAATCTTGAAGTTGAGATTCTTTTTCTTTAAAGATAATGGATTTGTGAATCTCTTCTTCAAGACTAGTGGCAGTGAGAGGGTAATAGTTAAGGTCCTTATGAATAAAGAGAATATTTTTCGTAGAATTTCTAGTGATAAAACAATTTTCTTTAGTCATAACTCCCTTAGAGGATATTTCTTCCTCTTTACTCTTCCTTACTTTCTCTTTTTTTCTTTTTATTTTCATTTGTGCTTAATCCTCAACCACTTGTTGAGGTGAGAGAGGATAAATCACAAATTTCTTTTCCTTACGAGTGAAGGTAATTTCATTAGTAAAACCATTATGTATAGTTTTCTTTTTAAATTGCCATGGTCTTCCTAACAAAATATGACAAGCTTCCATTGGTACTATATCACATAAAGCTTGGTCCTCATACTTCCCAATGGAAAACTTAACCTTCACTTGGTTAATTACTATGTCTCCATCCTTATTGAGCCATTGTAAATGATAAGGTTGAGGATGCGACATAGTAATTAAACTCAACTTGTTAACCAACCTAGTGCTACAACAATTGCACCATGAACCACTATCAACAATGAGAGAACAAACATTATTTAAAACATTACATCTTGTATGAAAGATGTTCTCTCTTTGTGATAGGGTACCACTAGGTTGATTATGAAGGATTCTCCTAAGCATTAGGAGCTCTCCTTCA